CACGGTCTGATATCCTACGGACAACAACAACTCCTACCAAAAAACATTTTCCATTTTTTCATTTTTGTAATCATTGAAAAACAGTGCTGTTATTCAGTAGCAGTAGTAATTTGTCAACAGAGGCATTTCCCATTATCTTCTACTATTGATAAGTGAATTCCAAAGCTTTGATGTGTGATGGTGACTACTGCTGTTTACTAGTAACTAAGTTGAGCCAAAGAACAAAGCAATATGAAGTTAGTCATACAAAAATAAATTTTGACTTTGAATGTTATGACAACAACAAGAACAAAGAGGTTTGGGCATTGGAAATCATACTGATAGTAACAATATGCTGTACATGATACCACTACTAGTACTACAGTGAATGTACTATTTTGTATTTTGTGATTGCTATGAGTACTACTAGTACTACTAGTACTAGTGCCAATATTAGCCAGTAGTAGCTTCCTCTTCTTGTATGTCCTCACATAGCTTCTACTACTATCTCCCCCATGCCCTGATGATCTATCCATTGGGGACCAAGTTATAGCTGTTCAAGTGAGTTGACCCTTACTTAATGCTTTATGTGTATTTTGTCCTGTGTGCATATTTTGGGCCATCTTTTTACTACGTGATGATTTGTGGGATCAGAAATTTGTCTCATAGTAGTGGTACTACTATTATGTCTTGAAGCAAAGAAGAATCAGCACCAGTTGGATCACACGTGCACAAGAAGAAAAAGTGCAGCAAATGCCTGGCTGTAAAGTGCAGCACAAGGCATTTTTTTAGTCAAAGTACTAGGCATTGCACACAAAAATGTGGGCCCAAAAGCTACAAGAACTGCTGATGGATAGATTTGGTAACGATAATAATATTTAATTTTTCCTCTAGTACTACTAGTAGTAGAAGAAGTAGCTGTTCTAGTAGTATGAAGGAAAACATTTCTTTTTCATTCATAGCAGTATTAGGATTGAATTTTTGCTACTTGTGCGTCATCTGTCTAAGAATAGAGGAGACAAGAAAATAAAGACATTAGTAGTAGTATACAACAAACAAAGAAGTGGTATTTTCTTGGTGACAACCCAAATTTAATGTGCCTCATTGTTTTGATACCAGTAAGCTACTTCTTGACAGCAAGTCAGTACTGGAAAATGACAATCCAAACTACTACTACTACTACTAATATGAATAGCGCTTGTTTTTTTGCAGCTACTAGTACTAGTAGTACTACTAGTAGATGGCTCCTTCTTTATCAGACATGGGGGTGAGGATAGTAGTCAGACACCAATGGAAAATGGCATGATGATGATGACATCATTGCTAAAAATGATTAATCTCGTTATAAGGGAGGCAGATTATCAATTTTATATTGCACCATGATACTCCAAACTATATCACTTCTCTCGAGCCTTCAAAAATAAAGCTTTTTTCATTTTCAAATAACAGCATATATTGAAGCGAGTTGGCATGTGTTTCCGCACTTTGACACAACGAGAAACAAAATATGTCCTCGTACAAAAAGTTCCGTCACGGGGAATCGAACCCCGGTCTCCCGCGTGACAGGCGGGGATACTAGCCACTATACTATGACGGATTTCTTTTCCTTGCTTTTATGGTGACGAGAAATGTTTGTAACCCTTTATAATATTCTACTGTTCGTGCTTTGATTTTCTACATTCTAGTTATTTCCATTGTTGAAAGAATTAATCAAGTTGGGGATGGCCGGGTTTCTTTCGTGTTGAATTATTATTTTGCTACTACTACTACTAGTCATACTACTAGCATATAACAGTAGTTAATAACCGTACTTACTTCTTTCCTTTAAAACAAATGGATTTGTAGGATAGCTCGTTCGTTTCTCACACCGTGTTTGTGTCGTTTGGAACGGGGGAGTATCCAATTCTTTTCCTATTTTGAACAATTGATTTTTTAAGTATTCGACAACCGTGGGCGGCGGCAGCTCCGAAGAACATCGCCATAATCAAGGCGGTGGTGCTTGTTCCTTGGGAAGCAACTTCCGCTGTTGAGCAGTCGTCACACACGGGACAAATTTTGGTGGGTGCCGGAGTGGGAGGGACCCAATAATCACCTAAGAGAACGACAATGAACAAATGAATCAAACGGATGTACAGGAACAATATGAGCATTCAAAATAAATCATTACTTCTCCCCACTCAATTCCTGCCGGTCTCCCGTCAAACTCACATTGGGACGTGGTGAAATTCCACCATCCATTTCCGCAATCGGGCGGTGGACTAGCGGTCGGTTCAAGGGTTTCGTCGCCCAAGACAAAATCATTTGTGGGGGAATTGAGGCAGGCGGTCTTCGCCGGGTCACTCGATCCGTTGAGGTCAGGAAACAATCCAGCGTTGCTGACGGCCTTCAGCGAGAGCAATCCGACCGGATCGTCCAATGCATTGGGTTCGGAGTTCATTTCGTTCTCTGGAATCTTCCACGCAGAATAGGACCAACCCAGCCCCCGCTCGGCGGCAAAGAGCTGTCGCGCCGCGAAGGATGCTCGGTGACTCTCCCACCACTCCGAACCGATCGTTTCTTCGAACCGGTTACACTGCCCGTAGTCCATAAAGTTATTGTTCTTGTGCCTCCAGGCACAGTCGTCGATGCTAAGGTCAAAGCCCGAGCTCCAAAAAACAGGGAGACGGTTTCCGAAACACGCACTATGTTCGATTGGTGATCGCATGGTGCAGGCCACGGTTTCGTGGTAGAAGAGTTTCGACCTGTCTTCCTGAGAGGAAGACGAGGCAATATCTGCTATTGTAGACGTATGGGACCATTCCAGCGCAGCGTAAACCTTGGGATCATTCAAGCCCATCGGCTTTACCAAGTCGCCCAACCCGACAAGTGGGACAAAGAGAGGCAAATCAGGACCGATCTTTGCCCGCACAGCATCTATCATCGTCTCAACATTGATCTTCATTTCCTTAGGTAGAACGATACCAAGTACGGCGCCATGAGACGATGCATACTCGGAAGCCGACACAACGGAATCTATCTCGTCTCCTGTGGCCACAAGTGACAAAATGGCCTGCAATCCTTGTCCTTTGAGAGTGTCCAAGGCCTTCGCCAAGATGACCTTGGCGACTGCTCCGGTATCGTTTTCGGTTGTAAAGGCAGAGGTTGGGACAGCAATCTGCACTGTATTCAATCCCATAGCCTTCATGTCTCTGAAATCCTTCGATGTGTAACTAACTGCGTTGGTTGCGTTTGTCATCCAGGGCGCGTCCGGAACCAACAAATCCACCAGGTTCACCGATCGAATCGGTCCGCCATCGGATCTCGGAGAAGCAGANCGGTTCAAGGGTTTCGTCGCCCAAGACAAAATCATTTGTGGGGGAATTGAGGCAGGCGGTCTTCGCCGGGTCACTCGATCCGTTGAGGTCAGGAAACAATCCAGCGTTGTTGACGGCCTTCAGCGAGAGCAATCCAACCGGATCGTCCAATGCATTGGGTTCGGAGTTCATTTCGTTCTCTGGAATCTTCCACGCAGAATAGGACCAACCCAGCCCCCGCTCGGCGGCAAAGAGCTGTCGCGCCGCGAAGGATGCTCGGTGACTCTCCCACCACTCCGAACCGATCGTTTCTTCGAACCGGTTACACTGCCCGTAGTCCATAAAGTTATTGTTCTTGTGCCTCCAGGCACAGTCGTCGATGCTAAGGTCAAAGCCCGAGCTCCAAAAAACAGGGAGMCGGTTTCCGAAACACGCACTATGTTCGATTGGTGATCGCATGGTGCAGGCCACGGTTTCGTGGTAGAAGAGTTTCGACCTGTCTTCCTGAGAGGAAGACGAGGCAATATCTGCTATTGTAGACGTATGGGACCATTCCAGCGCAGCGTAAACCTTGGGATCATTCAAACCCATCGGCTTTACCAAGTCGCCCAACCCGACAAGTGGGACAAAGAGGGGCAAATCAGGACCGATCTTTGCCCGCACAGCATCGATCATCGTCTCAACATTGATCTTCATTTCCTTAGGTAGAACGATACCAAGTACGGCGCCATGAGACGATGCATACTCGGAAGCCGACACAACGGAATCTATCTCGTCTCCTGTGGCCACAAGTGACAAAATGGCCTGCAATCCTTGTCCTTTGAGAGTGTCCAAGGCCTTCGCCAAGATGACCTTGGCGACTGCTCCGGTATCGTTTTCGGTTRKAAAGGCAGAGGTTGGGACAGCAATCTGCACTGTATTCAATCCCATAGCCTTCATGTCTCTGAAATCCTTCGATGTGTAACTAACTGCGTTGGTTGCGTTTGTCATCCAGGGCGCGTCCGGAACCAACAAATCCACCAGGTTCACCGATCGAATCGGTCCGCCATCGGATCTCGGAGAAGCAGATTTTTCTYCTTCGCACGACAATCTTGCAAGCCCGTTGACATCGCACGCATAGAGATTGGATTCCTTCGAGGGCGTAGAATCGTAGACGCGTTCGACCAAAAAGTCCAGGAGGGAGACGGCTTCGGCACCTGTGATATTGCCTTCTGCGAAATTAAGATTGATKGCATTGGCGTCGGAAAGGGTGATGTTCTTGTTGGGATCGATGCCCGCGAGYTCGGCCACATCTTCTGGCAGGCCGAGGCTGTTTTTTGGTTGGTTCAGAAACAAAAACCCAACACGTTAGAGATTCGAGAGGRATGAAGTTGAAAACTTGAAATCCAATGCATCGCAACGTTCAACGTTGTTCGATGCTTKGGGAGATARCCACCCAAATTTATGGCACGKTAATTCAGTCGACGGGGTTTAAATAGTTTTAGTTTGCAAACCAAAACGTACCATCCATAGGTATTCCCATCGGGGGGATCCAAGACAAAGGCACCTCTGTTTTTTCCACACGTAGATGCAAAAAAACTTAGAGCGATGTCATCCATACTCTCGATGGATTGTTCGTTCAGKATATCTCGGTCAATTTTACAGGAAGGAGACGGCATGATGTATGGTACTGTAGCTTCAAATTTAAATGGGAATTTATGGATTGGCAGATTCCCGAATAGCCTTGCTAGTCAAGGGATCAGAAAGCAAGCAAGTTTAACAGGATATGAAAAAAAACATACTAAGCCAATTGATCCTGGTTTGATGGTGGCCGATCGGCCGTTCTGTACATCCCGTCGCTTCCAATGCCTTCTCCTTTCGTCGTCACTTGTCCTCATGATTTCTGCTCAAATATCGTCTTCAAGATGTGAAGGAACACTAAGCGACGAGAAAAGTCGGAGTATAAAAACCGAATGCTAATAAATCTTTGGAGACTCCGAATCCCGGATTGTTACCGGTCGCTC